AGGTTGGAGGCCATCGCTATTAGGTTGGAGGCCATCGCTATTAGGTTTGAGGCTATCGCTATTAGGTTGGAGGCCATCGCTATTAGGTTTGAGGCTATCGCTAGTAGGTTGGAGACCATCTCTCTTAGGTCGGAGGCCATCGCTATTAGGTTGGAGGCCATCTCTCTTAGGTTGGAGGCCATCGCTATTAGGTTGGAGGCCATCGCTATTAGGTTTGAGGCCATCGCTATTAGGTTGGAGGCTATCGCTATTAGGTTTGAGGCTATCGCTAGTAGGTCCGTCGCACAGTGAAGCGACTTCTCGATTTGTGAGTCGTGCACCTTGGCCACTGCCTTGATATCGGCCTGAACAGGAACTGTGAAGGCAGGCTCTGAGTCAAAAAGAGTGAAGCCGAATAGAGGGCATTGTCTGAGATGCCATTTTGTGGGGCCAGGGTCTCTTTTGTCTCTTCATGGCAAGTCTTTCTTCCTTCCCACCTTCACTGCCTCGAAGTCAAGATCCTCAGTGATCTCAATGTTGCGAAACAGCCAACACAGTTTGTAAAGGAGAAGCCGTCAATCAAGCTGTGTGCTGATCTGTGATGTGATGTGAAATCCCACCTACAGCGTGTTGGTGCCATCTATGGGAGGTTTAGGCTTTCTTGGCATACAGTGCTTTGCAAGCCACCTGCATCACCACAGTCGCATTCGCACCATCCTGTACACTGCGCTGCGCTGGAGGTTTCATGTGCACAAGACTACCACGGTTCACTGGGTTTCACGGGCCGGCCTTCACGTCCTGTTCTACTGCATCACTCATCAAGTGCCTTGCCAACGCGCCAGCCGCCAGTTCCAGCTGCTGCTCAGTCTCCGCCACATCAGCCACGTGTGTGGCAAGAGCTGAAGCTACGATATCGTACTGGCACAAGAATTGCATCAAAACGAAGATCGTTTCAGACTCCAGGCTACAAATCCTTTTTTGCCACGCTTTCGTTTATGACTTGCCTCAGCTTTAGTCACATGTGTTCGATCTCTCTATACAGCGGTTGGATCGGGCTCCTGTGTTCCCAGTGCACGCAGCAGCTCTTCTGCTGCCTCTGTCTGTGCCGTCTGCGGCTCCTGCCAAGCTGTCAGGAGGTTCAGAGTTGAGCAATTTAAGCAGAAGTGAATAACTAAATCAAAGTGGAGGCCATCGCTATTAGGTTGGAGGCCATAGCTCTTGGGGTGGAAGCCATTGCTGTCGTGTAAAAGATCCAAGAAAAAAAATCAAGACGCAGTAGTAAGCACTTCAATGCGACCTCTACTCCCAAGGCATGCAGCAGCTCATGTGCAGCAGCATCTGAATCTTGGCATGCGTGGGTGGCCAAAGCTTCAGCGACCACATGCAACTCCTAAAGCGGCGGCCATAGCAAGGCCCTTGTTACTAGTAGCTTCTTGTTCCTAGTAGTAAGGCCAACAGCCCCTAGTAGCGTCCTTGCTACTAGTAGCGATGCCCTTTGCTACTAGTAGCCAACATTGCTCCTACCAGCAAATGGAAATCAGCTTCAAAATTCTGACAGATTGTGGGACCAAAGGGCATCGCTATTAGGGGCTCCTGGCCTTACTACTAGGAACAAGAAGGCTACTAGGCACAGAAAAAGCCAAAACCATCAAACAAAGGTAAAATGATGCAAACTCGGTTCTTTCCTGGCCTCTTCCGCCATGGCCTTGTCTGTTTGCCAAGAAGGTTTCCCGTTGAGATAGAATTCACAAATTTTGGATTGGATGGAGACTAACAGAATAGAGCTGCTTAGCAGCTTGGAATTATGTAAGCACTTGCACAAATTTGAGCCGAAACTGCAGCGACTCATCATAACTGAGCATCTTGGAAGCTTCTGCTTCAGCTGGCAGTCAACAGCTGCAAGTTCGCAAGTCCCTCCAAAAAGCAGTACATCCAACTTGTGCAACTTGTATTTCTTGCGGCGTGTGTGTGTGTGTGTGTGTGCTCCAAACGTTTTGATGTCCTGGAAACCCAAGCACCATAGAACTGCTCCTTCCACCACCTGAGAATAGGAAACAAGAGCCTCACGCTGGAAAGCTGGAAATAAGAGAATGCTGAACAGCATCTAGTCCAATGACTATGGCATTTATGGAGTGATGCGACAAAGTAAATCAACCAACAATGATGCGCTTAGCAGGTTTGCTATCTACCCAGCACCCGTTACTACTAGGCCCTCACGCTTGTTAACAAGCTTGAAAGAACGAAAGAAACCATAACAACTCGAAAGTCATGAAGGACCCACGCCAGACCCCCTCGCCTCGTAGTCTTTCCGGCATGTGATATCACTGCTCATATCCAGGCCTGGAGATGAGTTTTTCATCACCCTGCGGACAAATGAGTTAAATCACTGCAGTGTCCTTTCTTCAGGGACAATGGCAATGGTCTTTTCACTCATCAAAAGCAACGCTAGAATTTTTTTCGTGCTGAGCTGGCAAACGCTGGATTTGTTCAGGACAGCCAGGGCCAAAGTGCGATAGTAAGACCTACGCGTTGTGCCGGCACTTTCGGAATGCTGAGATGCACCTTCTCAAAAAGAAAAAAGCAAAAATGAAGGGCCTCTTATCAAAGGATGCCCTACCATCGTGTAATAGTAAATATTACACCTGTCTTCCTCTTCTTTTTCTTTGTTTCTAATAGCGATGGCCTGCAACCTGGCCTCCATCCTAAGAGCGATGGGCTTCATGATTTCACGTGATGCTTCTCCCTGCCCTTAGCTTTTCGGGCTTTGCGCCTGCTCGGTTTCTGGGGAATGGCTCTTCCATGCAACCTTTGGACGTCTTCCGTGGAAGACTCAACGAACTTCGGATCAAAATCAACCATCTGTCCTGGTGAAGAAAGATCACGGCAATGGCATCTTCGAGCTGAACTGAACCTGGTGTAGCCCGTCACGAACCTTTTTGGACAACAACTCAACTGCTGTGCAAATTCAAAATTGCGCACCATGCTGCATAAGCCGCGCATGTGCCTCAGCGCACAAACGAGAAAAGGTCGCCATACTTGTGTAAACTTGTTCTGCACCAATTCCAGGCCGCCATACTCGAGACAGACGGATGAGGCTCTCCAAAACTCGAGGGGAAAAGACCTCAATGACTTGGCAGTCTTGAAAAGTGATTCTTGTTACTACTGGCGTCTTGTTTCTACTATCTTCTTGTTACTACTAGTAAGGCACCTGTTACTACTAGCGTGGCACTTGTTACTAGCGTGGCAGTCTTGAAAAGTGATGCTGTGGCAGATATTTGTGCCATCACTTCTAGGTTAGAGACCATCGCTATTAGGTTGGAGGCCATTGCTACTAGGTTTAGTGCTTGCAATAGATGGCAGCACCATACAGAGCTCCTACACATTCCTGATACTGGACCAGATTGCCCGTCGCACAATGAAAGATCTGGCCAAGTTGCAGCGCCCAAGCTGCCTACGGAAGTCAAAAAGTATCGGGACCTAGAAAAAGGTTACTGCGAGTGAGTGGTCACGCGTTAGTTGACAAAACTGTTGAAAAGTTGCATAAACATATGTGTGTACAAAACTATTAGGTTGGAGGCCATCGCTCTTAGGTTCGGGGCCATCGCTCTTAGGTTTGAGGCCATCGCTCTTAGGTTTGAGGCCATCGCTC